TATTTTTTACTTCCTCTACTATATCTTAAAATATAAGTTTATCTTGTGCCATTGTATAAATTCGAGTAAAAGATATATAATGAGGTGTTCATAGAAACAAAATATACAAATCAGATAAGTATCAAGATATATTGCAGTAGTTGTTACCTCCATTGAATACATTCAAAAACAAACATAATAGAATTAATAGAAATAAAATTATCATAGAAGAAATAAAACAAATGAAATAATAATACAAAAAAAACATATTATCTAATGAAGAATAATAATAAATATAAATTCATCTTAATTAACCGATTAAATTCTTTTTAATTCAAAACATAATAACTGGAATTGAACAAAAAAAAAATAAATTAATTGACTATGATTTAGATTATATTTATTGATATATTCATAATAAACTATTTGTATTTAATTGATACAGAACAACGATAATTTATACTACAAAAAACTTTTACAATAAGTTTTTTATTATTACATAATTCAGTCCAGTGGTTATGATGATAAATTGTGAAGATGATAACCACTTCAAATAAAACAATAATAACAATTAAATGATTAAATTTTGTTTTAATTAATATTTTTCATTTTTCATAAAAACAAAAATATAAAAAATAAAAGACATACTTCAAACTTTCAAAAACAAAACAGAGTTTTCAATTTAGAATGACAGAGAAAGAAACACCACCGAATAATATTATTATAACAAAATCAGATTTAATTGTCACTTTGAATGAAGAGTTTGTTTAGTTGTATAACTAGTTATAATAAAAGGAATAGGATAATCAGATAGAATTACAGAATCAAATTTTATTGAATCACCACAGTATCAATCAATAATTCAACAAGCTAAAAGTGAAGAATGTATATTCAAAACAAAGTCATTAATAGAGTGTGAACAGTTTTCATCAAGAATAGAAAAGATAATAAATGTAAATAACCAAACTACTTTATCAAAATCTGCAAGAAAAAAAATTATTCAAAATAAAAAAAAATATGAATTTTTATTTGTTGGAGGAGGGTTCTACATTAAATGTATTTGTAATGAAAATGACGATATTCATCAATTTGGAATAAAAAAGGTCATTTTATTTCTTGACTCTAGGGGAAAATGTTCTATTGAACATTGGTTAAATTGGATAATTAAAAATTCAATGATATCAAACGATGTATTTATTAGAATGCTTCCATTGTTAATTGTTTGCTTTTTTTCTTTTTTATACAATTTACTTGTTGTTAGAAATATTTATGAATAGTTTATTCCTGATTATATTTGTAATGTTAATTATTCATTAACTTATCCAATTCTCAAAATAAGAGATATTTCATTAAATCCATTTTCTTCAGTATCTTTATTACCTGTCAACTTATCACTTCCATTAACACCAAATTCATTTTTTCTTCCATTTTATAAAAATTTTGAAGTTAATTGTCATCCTTTATATACTTCACCAATTTCATACAAATTTTCAGAAGACTTAATCCAAAAACTAAATGAAATTAATCATCCTTATGCATTACAATTACTTCTACATATTAAACCGACTGAAACTCAAATTTCACTTCACCCATTATTAAAATGTTTAATTAAGTATGAAAACCAAACACTTCAAAGTAACACCCTTTCTATTGAGTCTAATTGTTCACAACCAAATGAATTACTAGAAAATTTAACAGAACAAATTTATATACTTCCATTTGATAATTTAAATATTTCATTACCATCAAATAATATAAATAATTTAACATTTAATGAATCTTATCAAATATACGTATTACTCTTAAAACAACAACCAGAACATTGTTTATCAATAATTAAACAATTAGTTAATATTATTGGGAATTCATTCAGTTCTGGAATTGTACAATCATTACCTGATGAATTTAAACCAATTATTAGCCAAGCAATTATTGAATCAATACCTTCTCATCCTTTAATGTCAAATTATTTTGAAGAGTCATTACAATACTTACCAACAATATCAAAAAAAACTAATTTATTACCACCATTAATTTATATACTTAATTCATTAAATACATTAACTAAAGAAGAATTAATAAAAAGAGAAGAGTTAATTGTTGATTTTATAGAATACTGTTTAAATCACATTACAAATTTATCTGAACATTTAAAATTAGCATTTACTGAGGGTTGTTCTAGTTTTATTAGAATGCTATATGAATTTGATGATTTATCACCTCCAATAGCAAAAGAAATTAGTTTAAGATATCGAATCATTGATATACTAACTCAGATTATTCAAATTTATCCTGATGTAATAACATCTCTTAGTATTACATTTAAAAATTGTATTGAGCCATTAAATTATACTCCATATAATCCACTTAGTTATGGGATATTTTCTAATAGTGGAAGTTCAACACCAAGTAGATCAGTTAGTAGATCAGATTTATATTCTAATATTTCAAGAAGTGGAAGTTTAAATTTTAATGAAAGTTATTATGAAAGTAAAAGTAGAAATTCTAAAAGTCGGAGTGATTCTAAATCATTAAAAAGAAGTGGTAGAAAGAATAGTAGTATTGAAACAATAAAAATTGGAAATATTATTGGAATAAGAAACCTTGGTAGTACATGTTATTTAAACTCTATTCTACAACAATTATATGGAGATGTTTATTTTAGAAATTCAATGCTTCTCATAGATTCAGTCAAACTTGAACAACCATTTTTAAATTCATTAAGAGATTTATTTGTTAAGTTAATGAGATCAAGTACTGTTATTGATCCAAGAACAGAAGTTAGTGAAATGAGAAATAAAAAATATGGAATAATTAAACCAAATATTCAAAGAGATGCATGTGAAATGTTAATGGAAATACTCGATTCAATAAATGATGAACTAAAAGGAAATCCTGGAATCAATTCACTAAAAAAATCATATTTAATTGAAACATTAACAGAAATAAGATCATGTGATTGTTCACATAATCAGCAAAGAGTAGAAGAACATGTGGTATTACCATTAGAAATTAAAGGATTAAAAAAATTAGAAGAATCATTAGAAATATTAACAGGCACAGAATATATTGGAGATAAACAATATAAATGTGAAGAATGTCATAAACAAATTAATATTAAAAAACAAATGTTTCTTCATCAATTACCAAATACATTAGTATTTCAGTTAAAAAGATTTGATTTTAATCTTCAAACATTTCAACAAGAAAAAATTAATTCTTCTTTTATATTTCCTGATTATATTAATTTAAGACCTTTTACATTTAATAAAATAAAAGATGAAGAATATTGTCTTGCTGGAGTTATTGTTCATTCAGGAAATTGTACTGGAGGACATTACACATCATATATTAAAGATGGAACTAAATGGTTTTTATGTAATGATGAACAAGTTATTGAAGTAAAAAGAGAGTATGCAGAAATGGAATGGTTTGGCACAAAAAATAAATCAGGGTATCTTCTCTTTTATCGTAGAATTACTCCTCTTGAAGAAATTCCATCAGTTTCAATTAAAACAACAACAATTACAATTGAGAAAGAACAAAAATCTTCAAAAAAGAATAAAAAAGGAAAATCAAAAAAAATACATGAAACAAAATTTGAAATTATTAAAGATGGAGAAAAGAAAAATGGAAATAGTTGTTTATCATCAATTTTAACTTCTTCAATTTCAGAATCTACACAAAGTTCTTCAATTGATTTAAATGAAGAAATAAATGAAATTGAACAACAAGATAGTATTTATACAGAACAATATTTATTTGATGAAAATATCTTTTATTCATTTTTATTAGAATTATATCAACATATAGAAATTTGTACAAAAGAAACTGTTTCATTTATTGTCCAAATTATTATGTTTAGTTTAAATGAACGTAGAAATGAAGATTGTTGTGAAGAAAGAAAACAATTATTAAATTATTTATTAGAAAATCCTTGTCAAATTGTTGCAGAATCATTAATTGAAAGTGAAATTAATAACAAAGTAATAATGACAAAGAGATATTGTTTTAATCCACGTTCTACTTCAACAAAATATACTTCATATTTTATTGATTGTTTAAAATTATGTCCAATTGAAATTAATCAACATTATCTTTATCAACTACTTGTATTTTATTCAACACTAACATTAACTAAAGCTCATATTCATGGAACTAAAACATTATTTGGAAATGGATTAAGATTATTAACTGATTTAAGTTCTTTAAAATGTTCTATTAGTGATGCAGTTATGAAACAATTATTTTTATCAATAAAACAATCTGATTTTATTTTAGATTGTATTAATATTGACATTTCTATTTATTATAATTTTATCTATTCACTGTATTTACTCTTTGACTCAGATGTTAAAAATACACTTTTTCTCGTTGATTTATTAGTAATGTTTAAAACAAAACATCATTTTGATTTACAAAAGTCATTAGACTTTTCAATATTATCAAAATTCTTCATTAAACTTTCTAATAAATTACCAAATCCATTATTCAAATCACGTGTTTTCCTTAAAATTTATAATTGTTTAGATTCATTTTATACTAATGAAGAACCTGTTCATAAATCTCCTTTGTATTCTCTTTTAGTAAATATAACTAAAACATACTCTCTTACTGAAACCAAATTTATCATTCAATGTTTAGATAATGAAGAATCAGAATGTAGTATTAAAAATCACGTTTTATTTATTTTAGTATATGACTACTGTTTTAGGCATTTACAAGAAGTTGAAAGAGCAAATTAGTTTAATTGATTCGTCATTCAATTCTTTTTATTAAAAAGAAGTTAAAAAATAAAAAAAGAACTTAAAAGTAAAAATAAATGGAAGATTTTGACATTCATCTTCAAATAGAAAGAAATAGTATATTACAACAAATTGAACAACAAATAAAAAATGAAAGGTTGCACCGAAAAGATTGTAGTAATTTAAAATATCTTTTTGTCTTATTAATTGGAGTATTATTATTTATTCTAATTCTCTTATTTGCAATTAAAATTTTAAATTCTAAAAATTAATTAATTATTTTTTATTCAAAATATCAGCAAATGGATCTTCTTCACTTAAACTTTGTTTTGGTTGTAACTTTAATCTATTAAAACAACAATTTCTTTTTTCAATAGAAGTATTTGGTAATAAAGAACAAATTCCATCCATTTGTATTCTAGTTTCTTCACTTAAAGATTCTAATATTTCATAATCTTTTTTTTCAGGTTGTTTTTTTATTTTTTCATCACCACTATTAGCCATTTTTTCTACTGCATATATTGTTTGAAGTACATATCTAATATGAATTAATAATTTATTATAAGAATTAAATAATACTGTTTCATTTAATCCAATTCCAGTTAAACAATCATTTAAAAATTTAGAATGTAATTCTTTTAAATCATTAACAGAATATTTTGGTGTTGCAATAAATTTATTCCATAATTTTGTAATAACATCACACTGACAATATATTACTATTTCTTCTAATGTTTTTGAACAAATTAAAAGAAGTTGTTGAAGGTAAAATCTTAATGTACTATAATTTCTATTTGTTCCAAGTTCTGTTGATTTACAAATTATTTTTGTAAATGCACGAGATAATAAATAACGATGATACTCAATATCAAATAAAAATTTAAATATAACTTGATACCTTAAAGTTGCTTCTTCATTTACAATTAAAGATAATGGAAAAGGAATTACAAGTCGTATTAAAAATGCTTGAAACATATTACATGGTTTATCTGTTGTTGTTAATTCTAAATAATTTTGAATAAACTCTTTTTGAAATGATACACTAAAACAATTTGATGATATATGAATTGATTTTAATTCAAATAATAATGAATCAAATAATTTATATGTTGAACGTAATTCTTCATCTGCTGAATATGCATTTGATAATATTCCATGTGAAACATCAAAAAAATTATAATAAAATGAAGGTTCACCTAATAAGTAAGTCTTTCTAATTTTATTAAAAGTATCATCAATGTGACAATGTTGAAATATAACAAATAACATTTTATTAATTGATTCTGCTTGTTTAGTAATTAACTGTTTAAATTTTAATGGATTAAATAAATTTATTGATTCTAAATGAATGGATGGTATTTCTTCTTTACTTTCTTCTTCTATTTCTGATGTTTGATGTAAAAGCATTTGTTGAAATAATTCTGTTTCATGTTGAATTCTATATCTCTTAATTGAATTAACATATTTTCCAGTTATATAAATTTCATTTCCAAGAGGTTGTACACAACACGGAACTTCTTCTTCATAAAATATATATTTTTCTTCTTCTTTTTTTATAAAAAATTCATTATATAATAATTCTCCACAACTCATCCATTGTGAAATAAAATTCATTAATGGTTCACATGTTTTTTCTATTAACTTCTTTAATAATTTAACACTAGTACCAATCCCTCCAAAAAGACGTAATTGACTATAAAGAACTTCAATAATTTTTTGTGGTTTAGTTTCTTTTGTAACTACTTCAATTATTTCTCTAATAGGTTTTAATGTATCAAACTTCTTATTTAATTCACAACAAATTTCTTGAATTGTCCACATCTCTTTTCGTGCTTGTTTTTCTACTAAACAAATATCATTCACATATTCTTCTCTAAATTCAACTATTCCTTCACATAATGGCTTGTTGTGTTACTCCTTCATGTTTACTTTTTAAAAAAGAGTTAATAGTTGAATAGTCTTCTGCTAAATCAATAACCCCTTTCACACACATTGTAATCGAGAGTCAATTATATTTGTTAATT